CATATGTTTATTTGCTGCTTTTACTTCTTTGCCTGAGAAATGTCTGTTCATTTTAGATGCCCAGTTTTGAATTAGATCTTTATATTTGGGGGGGTGTCTAATTTTTTTCAGTTCTTTATATATTTTAGATAGTAGACCTTTGTCTGAGGAATAGCTGGTAAAAATTTTTTCCTACACTGTAGGTTGTCTCTTAGCTCTGCTGGTGGTTTCTCATGCAGTGCAGAAGCTTTTTAGTAAGATGAGATTCGAGTTGTTTATTCTTTGTGCTAATTTCCATGCTATTGAGGATTTGTTCATAAAGTCCTTTCCTATGCCAATGTCTTCAAGAGTTCTACCTAACTTATTGTCCAGCAAGTTTAGTGTTTCTGTTTTAATATTTACATCTTTAATCCACTTCGATTTTAGTTTTGTGCATGGTAAAAGATAGGGATCTAGTGTTAATCTTTGGCAAGTTGAAATCCAGTTTTTCCAACACCATTTATTAAAGAGGCTATCTTTCCTCCAGTGAGAATGGTTGGCTCCTTTTTAAAAGATGAGGGAGCTGAGTATGTCTGGAGTTGTTTCTGCATCTTCTAATCTATACCACTGATCCTCAGGTCTGTTTCTTTGCCAGTACCATGCTGTTTTTATCACAGTGGCTTTGTAGTACAGTTTCAAGTTCGGAATTGTGAAGCCCCCTGCCATGACCTATTGCCTAGAATTGCTTTTGCTATTCTAGGTCTCTTCTGGTTCCAGATGAACTTTTGGATTGTTTTCTCTAGTTCTGTGAAATGTACTGTTGGGATTTCAATCCCGATTGCATTGAATCTGTATGGCAGTTTTTGAAGTATGGCCATTTTCACTATATGGGTTCTTTGTACCCAGGAATAGGGGATGTCTCTCCATTTTCTTATATCCTCTTTGACCCCTTTTTTCAGAGTGCTATAGTTTTCAGTGTAGAGGTCTTTTGCCTCCTTTATTTGATTGCTTCCTAGATATTTCATTTTTGGGGGTGCTATTGTCAAAGGGATTGTTTCCCTAATTTCTCTTTCAGAGAGTCTGTAATTTGTGTATGAGAAGGCTATTGTTTTTCGAGTGTTGACCTTGTATCCAGCTACTCTACTGAATCTGTCAATTAAGTCTAGAAGTTTTTTGGTGGAGATTTTAGTGTCTTCTATGTAGAGTATCATATCATTAGCAAATAATGACACTAGAACTTCTTCCTTTCCTATCTTTCCTTTTATTTCTTTCTCTTGTCTAATTGCTATGGCTAATTGAACAGGAGTGGTGATAGTGGACATCCTTGTCTTGTTCCTGATTTTAGCATGAAGGTTTTCAGATCCTGACCATTTAGTATGATGGTGGCTGTTGTTTTTTCATAGATGGCCTTTATCAAGTTGAGATAAAGACTGACTATTCCATTTTTCTTCAGGGTTTTTATCATAATGAGTGTTGAATTTTGTTGAATGTTTTTTCTACATCTATTGGAATGATCATATGGTTTTTGTCCTTGACTCTGTTAATATAGTGTATTACATTTATTGATTTACGAATGTTGAACCATCCTTGCATCCCTGGGATAAATCCAACTTGGTCAGGGTATATGATCTTCTTGATGACCCTCTGTATTCTGTTTACCAGTGTCTCGTTGAGGATTTTTGCATCTATGTTCATTAGGGAGATTGGCCTGTAGTTCTCTGTTTGGGTTGGGTCTTTCCCTGGTTTTGGAATCAAAGTAACACTTACTTCCGGGAATGAATTTGGAAGTAATGCATTTATGTTCATTAGTGAGATTGACGTATAGTTCTCCTTTTCAGTTGGGTCTTTCTCTGCTTTGGTGATCAAGGTGATGCTTGCTTCCAGGAATGAATTTGGGAGTATTGCTTCCCTTTCAATTTCATTGAAAAGTTTAAAGAATAGTGGCAATAGTTCTCTAAATGTCCTGTAGAATTCAACAGTGAAGCCATCAGGCCCTGGGTTTTAATTTGTTGGTAAATTTTTAATTATGTTTTCAATTTCACTGATTGTAATTGGGGTGTTTAGAATTTTTATATCTTCTTTGTTCAACTTGGTAATTCATACTTATCTAGCAATCTGTCCATTTCTTCTGTTTTCCATTTCATTAGAGTACAGATTCTGGAAGTAGGTATTGATGATTCTCTTGATTTCTGCTGGATCTGTTGTGACTTCACCTTTTTCATTCCTAATTGCATGGATTGAGCCTTTTCTTTCCGTTTTTGGACAAGGTTGGCTAAGGTTTTATCGATTTTATTTATTCTTTTGAAAAACCAACTCTTCGATTCATTGATTTTTTGTGTCATTCCCTTAGTCTTCATTGCATTGATTTCTGCTCAGATCTTTATAATTTCCTCCCTTGTATGAGCTTTGGGTTTATCTTGCTCTTCTTTTTCTAGGAGCTAAAGATTGAGCACTCGGTTGTTTATTTGAGCTCATTCTGTTTTCTTAGTGTGAGCTTTCACTGCTATGAATTTCCCTCATAGAACTGCTTTCATTATTTCCTATAGATTCCTGTATGTTGTATTGGCATTATCATCTAATTGTAAAAACTGTCTAATTTTTTCTTTAATTTCCTCTATGACCCATTGGTTGTTCACGAGAGTGTTACTAAATTTCCATGTGTTTGTGCAGTTCTTGCAGTTTCTCATGCTATTGTTTTTCAGTTTAATTGCACTATGGTCTGATAATATACATGGGATAACTTCAATTCCTTTGCATTTACTTAAACATGTTCTGTGAGCTAGTATGTGGTCTATTTTGGAGAATGACCCGTGTGCAGCTAAAAAGAATGTATATTCTAGTTTCTCTAGTGTGAAAAACTGAAAGTGTAATTAAGGATACACATGGATGAAATGGCCTAATAACATATTTCTCTGATTATGTTTCCATCGCATGTCATATGACTGTATCGAAATTTAAATTAGGGAGAAGTTTGGCTTATGTGGAGTCTGCTAACTAACTGGAGTTTTTTTCCAGCTCATTAGTTGTTCAGTGTTGGTTTTGAGGATTTTTCTGAAACAAATCACATCCTCTGGTGTCTTGGTGGTGCTTGAGATGCTTCTTTAAGTTATATGGAAAAATGTTTAAGTGCTTTTCAGTTTTGTTTTGGTTGAGTTCTACTATATTTGAATATTATTGTTTTTTCCCCTTGCATTGTTCTTCTTTGAATGATTTTAGTTTTTTGTATGTGTGTGTGTTTGATAATAAAGTAATTTTTTAAGAAAAAGAATGTATATTCTGATTTTGTGAGGTGGAACACTGTAGATGTCTATTAAATCCATTTTTTCAAAAGCTTGGTTCAGTTCTAGTATTTTGTGGTTGATTTTTTGTCTGGATGATCTCTCTATTTGTGACAGTGGAGTATTGAGATCCCCCACTACAATTGTATTAGTGCTTATTTGGATTTTCATGTCCCTTAATATTTGTTTTGTATAGTTGGGGGCATTTGTATTTGGTGGTTATATATTTATGATTGTCATCTCTTGCTCTTGGATTGTTCCCTTTACAAGTATGTATTGTCCTTCTTTGTCTCTCTTAGTTAGTTTTGATTTGAA